CTAAGAAGTTGTGATTTTGAAAAACGTGTCATTCTTCCAAATCTTTTGAAAATGTGCAGTAGAATCTTCTCCAATTAAAATAATCAAAAGTATATTATATTTCAAGAATTAAATCTCTGAATTTAAATAGACTGTGGCCAAAATGAGCACTACGCACGCATTTTTATTCCATATATCCCATTAATAAACTATAACAAAACCAAATAAAGAACAGCAACGAAAAATTTTCGACAAAATTATATTCAAATATTATATTTTAAAAAATTACATAAACAAAAATATGAATTTTATTATATAAGTATGAAGTATAAAGAGGCGTGTTAGTAAATTTAACAACATAGTTTATAAATAAAAAAATAAATAAAAAGAGAGATTTCAAATGAAACAAACCTCTGGTGTGTTAACAAGTCTAACAACATAATTTATTTATTTATAAATAAAAAAGGAGAGATTTCAAATGAAACAAGCTCCATAGTCTTACTGTTAGGCAAATCATCAATTAGATACATATATTTTTAATATATTTATATACTTTCAAATAGAAATATCATACTATATAAAATAATATGAACAAAAATTATGATACTTCACAACAAATATATAATCTTTGTAAAATTATGATACTTCACAACAAATTATTAACTTATTTATTACTCAAGATTTTGTAGTATTCTCTTTTAATACCATGCGCTCATTAAATAGAGTAACAGAGAGAACTTAAAAAATAATAGTACTAGAAATAATTAATCACCTTAAGCTACTCCTAACCGTCCGATTACGTTACGTCTCCTTCCAACAACAGGGAGCCAACTTTTAGATCCTTGTTTTTCTCCTAACAAACGGGAAATCATCAACCCTTCAAAACCCTCCACGTGTCCCACGACCAGTTTGACCGTCGTACCCTCGTTTACGTGACCGCTACTCCACAAAAATAGCTGCGCTCCTCACTTTCTTCCTTCTGTTTTATTTCACCCCAAAAAACACACAAACAAGTTTACAAATCTACACACCATAAATAAATAATAAATCGCCTTGATTATTAGTTTCCACAAAAACGCCATAGATGCACCACATATTGCTGCTTTTATATTCGCTTGACAAAAATTTGTAGTATATATAAGAAGTTAGAGAAGTTGGCAAAAAAATCCTTACAGATTTGATTTTTACGATGAGTGGTTACGGATTTTACCAGAGAGCTTCGAGGGCTTACAGCACAAACCCTAATCTCTTCAAGTTGCTGATTGTTTCTACTGTCAGGTTTTGAATTATCATCGCCTTTCTTTTCGTTCTGCGTTACGCTATGAAGAATTTTATATTATCTACTTTTTTTGCTTGTCTGTGTTTTGGTGGTTTCGGATCTTGTTTTGTGTCTGTCATACGTTTCTCCACTTATTTTATTTTTAATATTGTATTATAATTTGTTATTAGACGTGAGATGTGAGCGTTTCATTGTGAATGTGTGTATATAATTATGTTGTATTAAACAGGATTCACTTTTGTTTGTTGATTATTTATGTACCTTTTATTCTCCTGACCAGATTTNTAAATCCTGTTTCAGATATGTTTCTTCTATATTTTTGTTTCACCATTGAGCAATTTTTGGTGTTAATTGATCTATCATGGTGTTTTGATTCTCTGGATTGATTTCAAATTTGGTTTGTGAATGTAAATATTGTTGATTTGCTTAAATTAATTGAGCTGACTGGTAGGCTCTGTGAGCTCATAATATTGTCCTGACTTTAGAAAACAAGGATTACTTTCACGTATATCCAGGTTCAAAAATAAAAAAGGCAATGTGTATGCGAGACGAATATGAGGACATTCGCCATTGATATTTCCTCCAAAAAACGAAGAAATAATGAAATTTGAAGTTAAACTGGAACCGTAGAGGACTAACTTTCTCTACAGATCCAAGAAATTCAAGTGCATGTTAATGGCATAACACTGAATATACCCAAATGTTATTATCTCCCTGACCTCTTGGTTTGTGAAATCAAATTAGATTACTCTAGAATTATCATTAAAGCTCATTTTTTTATTTCTTTAAATAAAAAACGCAGTGGTGGTGGGCTACTGGCATTCTCTGAGAAAAGCCCGATAAGAGCTGCATATGCTGATGTGGGCCAGCCCGATATCAAGAAGAAAGTGGTTGTGTTGGGAACCGGTTGGGCTGGCACGAGCTTTGTCAAGAGCTTGAAAGACCCTGCATATGATGTTAAAATCGTGTCCCCAAGAAACTACTTTGCTTTCACACCTCTTTTGCCGAGCGTCACTAATGGCACGGTTGAGGCACGAAGCATTGTCGAGCCAATCCGTACTATTGTCAGAAAGGTATTATTTGAATACTGAAAAAATTTAAAACATGATTGCTTATCTGAAATATCAGAATATAGCCAATCAAAAGAGTTCTGTCTTTGAGGTTGTTTTAATTAATGGATGTATTTGTAATGTTTGTCGAACCTAACTTGTGGCACATGTTACCATCTGTTGCAGAAAAAGTTTGATGTTCAGTTACAAGAGGCTGAGGCCTACAAAATCGATACTGAAAACAAGAAGGTATACTGCCGATCAACCCAGCAGAACAACTTAGGCGGGGTTGATGAATTCACAGTGGATTATGATTATCTAGTGATAGCAATGGGTGCTCGTTCAAACACGTTTAACACCCCTGGTGTTGAGGAGAATGCACACTTCCTCAAGGTAGTCCCATCTTTGTTTTTTAGCAGTGAATTAAATAATCTTTTTATGTGAGATGTTTTCATTAGTTCTTTTCTAAGTACATACAAAGATTCATTTCATATTG